TGATATCTCTGTTTCACTCATAAACGCACTTCTTTGAGAAATTTTGTTGTTTTTACTGAATCGAAGTTGCCAGATGAAAATGCTGTGTATATATAGAAAAATTTGTTGTTGATTTGCGTGTGAGACAAGTCAATAAAGTGTGAGGTAGAGGAAAATTCAACGTAAGTATGTTCGAGATTTTCAAAATCCATAAAACACTTTTTATGTTTTTCTCAAATGATTCTTGTTTTATGTTCTCTCTGTGCCAATGACTTGCAAGAAAAATACGACTGACTTATCTAAAACACATCCAAAAGATGGTAGAGTTGAAATTGGCTTCGTATTATATAGACTTTTCAAGACTAATAATGCAGAAAACGACCTTGGACTTGACTGAAGAAGACCTTTTCCTTTAGAGAATAGGGACTAGTTTTAGACAGAGAAATGGAAATCTTCAAAACCTATCGCTATAATTAGTCTTTGTAAGATACTATGTTACAAAAAAAGAAAAAAGATACTATGTTACATATCGTAGACATTTTATGTAATCACATCACCATGGAAATTTACAAATCAAAGCTTGTGCAGTATGAGATGAGCTCCGAATTGAGGACGAGTGGTCATGACGGTTTGAGGCGCGTGAACATAAGAAGGAGAGAGCTCGAAGGAGAATCTCCGTAGGATCAAAGCCATTGCCATCTTTGCCTCCAACAGAGCAAAACTCTGACCGATGCAGATCCTCGGTCCCCAACCAAAGGGGAAAAAAGAGACCTGGTTCTTTGTTGCTTTTGAGAGACCGTCTCTGAACCGCTCGGGCTTGAAATCCGCTGCATCATCGCCCCAAAGCTCGGTGGCGCGATGGACAAGAACTGTAGGTATATAAACATTAACTCCAGCTGGAAGGGTAACCTCTCCAAGCTTCATTTCTTTGTTGACAGCTCGTTTGAGCTGAGCCACCGGAGGGTATAGCCTTAATACCTCATTGAATATCATAGTCATCTGTTCAAAATCATTCAAAGACAAACATTGAAATTTAAATGACCATGGTTCGATGCAAGACGATGTGAAAAAAGTTGCGATTTTTTTCTACTTACAACTTTCAGGTTGTTGAGGGACTCTATATCGGGTTTATGATTATCGCCGAGTATTTGCCTCACTTCCTCTCGTGCACGATCTTGCCAGTCTTGGTAATGGCTTAATAAAACCATTGTCCAGACTAACAGTACTGAAGTTGTCTCTTGTCCGGCGAAATAAAACAGCTTGCACTCCTGCATCACTTCTTCTACGCTTATTCCATTTCCTAGAGATTCCTCTGAATTTGATTCAAGCAGTATTCCCAACAAATCATCTTTCGCTGCTTCTCCAGCTTCTCTTGCTTTCTCCCGTTTGCTCACAATACCTCTCAGTATCGTATCTATTTCTCGGTCTATTGCTTTCATCCTTCTATTGCTCTTTGTTGGGTAAAACCTACACCAAACACAATCTTCAAGGTTTAGTTTATGACAGGACAAAGACAATGGGATTTTATTGTTTTACCTCAATCCAGGGATGTAAGATTTCTTAAAAGCTTGCGCGATGAGCTCAGCTAATTCCCCTTGGAGTTGAAATATTCTCTGCCCTTCTTTATAGCTGCTTCCAAAAGCAGTATGCGAGATCACATCCGCAGTCAAATTCACAAGCCAAGGCCAAACATCTACTTCAAGAGACGATATTTTATCGGTAAATAGCTTCTCCCACTGGGAGACAACCTCGCTGCAACAATTGTAGAACGCAGGGACCATGTTCTGCAAACCAAAGAGCATGATGCTAAAAGATCACACACATACACAGTCTAACTGGATTCATACAATGAAGAAACCAAAACCTTGATCTTCTCGAGGTGAAAAGCCGGGTTGATGATCCTCCTGTGACGCGCCCATTTATCTCCCTTATAGCTCGCAAGCCCTCCTGCTAACAATCTAAACAAAGGGAATGTAGCAGCCTTCTCAAAGTCGTAAACTTTATTAAAGACTTCTTTGATCTGCTCAGGATTCGTTATCATGATCGCTGGTACAGGTCCAATCCATATGAAGAAAGTCTTTCCTGTTCCACCACCAACATAAACTCAATCAAAGCACCAACAATGAATCTAACAGAGAATCAAGTCAAACTAAATTCCACACTAAAAGGGCACTCTCTCTAAATCAGAAAATTTGTCCTCCGGGATCTATCAAGTTGTAAGAGGAGAGACACAACAATACCGTGAGAATTGAGCATCTTCAAGGCGAGAGGAAGGAGACGTGGTGTGATATCATCCGTTAGATTGATGGGTTTAGATCTCGCCTCCATCATCATATTAACATTCCTCTTAATATCTCCGACGAGCGGCGTGTAAGGAGTTCCGACAAGACCCTGTCTTTTCAGGTAACTCTCCAGCATCTTGGGTTTGATCCAGACCCACTTCACGATCCGCCATGTCCATAGCAACACAGCTGCTACAACCACCACTACCAAAGCTGCTACCAGTACTGAAAAAGACATCTTTGATTCTCTCACTCACTCTGGATTCCGAAAGTTCGAATCTTTTTTCTTTCTACCACTGAAGTTTCGATTGTCTGTACTTGTCGTGTAAGGGTTTTCCATCTGTTCTTATCTAATTTCAATTTTTTAATCAATAAATCTTCAAAAGAAGATCCACTAAAGCTCCATGAAATCAATACACAACTGCTCTCAACTCTTTTGCGTGTAAAGGGTAAGCGCGTGTGTCTCAGGCGCCGAGAGCAAGATGTAGACCAAGTTGCAAGTTTAGTGATGGGTTTGCAAGAGAACTTTGAAGCAGAAAAACTTTGAAAATTTCCGATGAGTAACCTGAATACCGTATCACATCTAGAATAAATAGTTCAAAACATGCAAAAATGTAAAACTTCAAGAGAAGAAGATAACTCCAACATGGTGCTTTGTTCAGACTCGGAACAAGAACCCTAATCTGATTGTTGAAAAGGATGAATAGAATCATGTAGATTGGGTTTACATGAAAAGGTTGGGCTTCGATGCCTTGTAAGTAGTCTTGAGCTTCCTGCTTGGTGGCCTGACCTTCCTGAAAACAAGAGGGAACTTGATCTTCGAGTTATGGAACTGCTTCGTGCTCTCTCTCTTGCACAGCTTTGCAGGGACTGTTGCGGTCTTGATGATCTGAATGCAAGGGAACCTCACTCTATGACGAGAAGCCATCTCAGTGTACATCTGCTCCACTGCACCGTTGAGTGTGGTGTCGCGGTACTCCTTGTACATGTTATGGTACCCAGTTCGGCTCTGATAACGCAGCCAGATACCGAAGTTCTTGATCTTCGTAGGGTTCTTCTCGAAAATCTACAAGATTAGACAACAAAATCATTAACAAGTACTCAAATCTTTCAAGCATATCCAAGAAACAGAATAGCAAAGTGCAATCCAATACCTCATTGATGGCAAGCATTTGTCCGTTGCTTTTCTTAACCTTCTTCAGCTTCCTCAAGAAGTACCTATATACAAGCAAATGCAATTACGATCAGAGAATACATTAGACGAAAAAACAAACGAATTGGTACCAAACAGGACATTGAGAGACTCACCAAAACTTGGACTTGGCACGAACTTCATTAGTGGCCCACAGCTTCATACGGTAGATCTTAGGTTGCACATCTTTCTCTGTCGGGAGGGCTCTCCCAACCACTTGGTACTGGTGAAACTGCTCAAAGGAAACAAATGTGCATCGAATCATTTCATTATAAAACATAAAAGAGATCGACTTTTGAAATCCCTCAAACAGCAACAGCCACTCAATCTACTCTCTAAGTCACATGATAACACTAATCTACTATTAAGGATAGCTAATGAAGCTTAAAATGTTCAAACAGATCATATTCAGAGCCAAGAAGTACTCTAAGATCACCCTAAGGATTCGAACAAATCAACCCTAATAAAATAAAACTTAAAGATCAAATATTCTGCATGATACATTCTCACTATCGAATCCAGTTCATAACTATCCAAACCCAACTTCAAAACAAGTCAAAATCAAAGAACATAACTCTCACAGAAGGATCACTCGTAAATCAGGTTCCTCTACTGTAGAAAGAGAACCAGCTTACCCGAAAAGCAACCATTTCTGCAGAGAGATCAAGCTCTAACCAAATCAGCCAAAACAGAGAGCAAAGAGCTAGAAAGGTGGCGCTGATGAGAAAACTATAAAAGAGCTTTCTCTAATACCAAACCCTAGACGAAGAAGATACACGTATCTGTGGGCTTTTCTTTTTCTAATTGGGCCTTCAATAAATCCATTTTGTTTCGTTATAAATTTCATTTGCAGCGGTC